CAGAAACTCTTCATTTGGGCCCACAAGGAGGCTGAAGCCTGGTTCCTTTGCCTTGGTTTTGTGTCTGACTCTTTTACTTTGGGTCAGAAGGATGCCCAACTGCATGAGGATGTTAACCATCCCATCACGGTCCGTCTATTTAAACTATCTCACCACCCCTCAAAGCTGAAGACATATGGCAGCCAAGAATTTGAGAAATCTTGGATTTCCACCAGGTGCCTTGCAGCATCAGAGTTGATACCACAGGGGTGAGAGGCAATACAACCTGGGCTCACAACTTAAACGAGACCGTTATGCACACCTTTTGTGCCCTGTTTAGTTGCGTACTCTACTTAACCCTAAAGTTTATATCAGCATCCCAAACACAAATCTGGAGTCCCAGGACCTTTTCCCTTATCACCCTCGCTAATGTACCATGTTAAATTACATCTTTCTCTACTTTTCGCGTGGTGTGTCTCCTTAATTGGTGTATTTGGGTGGGTGGCTGAGTCCAGCGTGCTATCGCTGAAGCTTTTGCCTTGTAACCCCGTAATTACATGCATAACATGCATAATCTTCCAACCCCCATCTCCTCACCTTCTATCATTATTTGTGCTCCTAGCAGGTGGCAGGACCCCTTTAAACTACATGTAAACCTTGGTGGAGACAATGAACATACAGGGACTGTATTCTGAACGCAGTTCGCTCACTGAGTCCGAACATCGTTTTCTGAACACAGTCCTCAAATCAGCTGTTCGTTTTAAAGACAAAAGTGCCCCCCACCCAGCACTCCCTTCTGATCTGTCCACTGTCCAGGTGTGCCAGTCTGCGTTCCTGTAAAGCCACCCTGTAAGAGGGTTCTCACAGCTAGCGTGTTGTCTGCCAGAAACCACTTTCTTTTTTGCCATAAATCACGATGTCTGAAAGGTATAATCTGCCCAGAAGAAGCTGAACTAGAGACAGTTCTCTGAACCCGGGCATCATAAGGCTATACACTAGCCGACTTGAGGAGGCGGAAAATTTAGCAAGGTAGCGGGTCCTACGATGTAGGAGGGACCAAGTGAAGACCCGCCCTAAAAGAAAGAGGAAAAAACCCCAGGTACCTGGGCGGCCGGGCGGAAGGGGCGGGGCCTGAGCTCCCGGGGCGGGGCCGAGCCAGGGGCACGGCTGTCAGGGCCCGGGTCCTCGCTGCGCATCCGCTCAGGTCCGGCTCCCGCTATCCGCGGTTACCCTCGATCAGCCGGCCTCGCAGGAGGGCGCAGCGGTGCTCGTGTTCTCTACTCGGGATCTTGGGCTGAAACAGCCAGAGGTCAACTGTTGCGGCCGGTGCAACCCGCGTGTCTCCTAGCAACGCAGTGACGCTGCTCGGACAGCCCACGTGAGCGAGCCAAGCCCAGTTTCCTCCGGCCCCGCCCCCCGTTTCTGGGTCTTTGTGCGCATGCACAAGGCCTGGACTGGGCAAAGAAGTCTTTCTCTGCAGAGGGAGGCCCCGGGTGGGCGCTGTTCGCTGCTGTTCACTGTTATTTGAAAGCGTTTGAGAGAATAGCAAAAAAACAAAAACAAACAAAAAAAAAAAAAAAAAAGAAAGAAAAAAAGGCCGGGCGGTGGTGGCGCACGCCTTTAATCCCAGCATTTGGGAGGCAGAGGCAGGCGGATTTCTGAGTTCGAGGCCAGCCTGGTCTACAGAGTGAGTTCCAGGACAGCCAGGGCTACACAGAGAAACCCTGTCTCGAAAAACCAAAAAAAAAAAAGAGAGAGAGAATAGAGATCCTACAGAATCTGAATCCTGATAGAAGGTAACATAGTGTATTTGGATTCAAGGAATCCGTCCATCATGGTGTCTGGCAATCACTAAACAAAAACGTACCATCTATAGGTTTGTTTTCCCATCAGTATCTGAACTGATAGTTAATATCACCTATTTCGATGAAAAGTGATTCAAGATCAGTGTTTTGAGTCGAGAGCCATTGATGATTGTCTAATTCATCCATCAGCAAGACCGGTTGGCTTTAATAGCTTCCCACACAAGTCCAAAAAGCCATCTCTTGGCAGTCTCCGGCCACCACACTAATTCCCAACCTCGCTCCCCAGCCACATGGTCTATTCTCCACACAACAGTCAGCACAGACACTTAAAACCTAAATCAGATTATGTCAGTCTTGGACTTGGGCTGTGACCCTGCAATAGCTTTCCATTTTATCCACAGTAAAAAAAGAAAAGAAAACACCAAACAAACAAACAGCAAAACAACAAACGCTTCAGAGGTTTACAAGGCCATGAAGTCTTACAGGTTTGTAATCCTGGGTCACTTTGCTCCAGCCATACCTATCCAAACAGCTCCTAGCATGCAGTAAATGTGAACGCAGCATGCTTAGAGTGGGGAAATATATTTCACCATCTCACTGCTGCTGCTGCTCTGAAGCGACGAGCAAGAAAGACAAGGTAGCTATGAGGGAGGAGCTTCAGAACACAGTGGCCTTGAACTTAAGTCTGGACTCTGCTTACTGAGAGCAGGACCTTGTGTGATTTACATAACAATGTAATAACTGAACAATAAGAACCTGTCTGCTAGGGTTGCTGTGAGACAGAAATACCAAACACAGAACACTTCAGACAGCATCTGGAACTACCCAAGTGCTGGTGACACATTTTACTAGATAGGCATTCAGTGAACAAGGGTTTTTTGACTGCTTTACACTATGCATTAGTGTTCAGCCTAGGAGCTGTAACATAATAGAGACTGGATGACTATTTGTTGAACAAATAAATGAGTTTTGACCATCAGATTTCCTAGAGTATGGCACTGGGCTTCTTTGGTTTCTTAACTGAACCCTAGGTAGTATCCCATATACCGATTTCATGCATGTAAACAATGTACCTTTTAAAAAAGTCATGTGTGTGTGTGCTCTGTGTGTCTGTACATGCATGCACATGTCTATGTCTTAGTGGGTAAGTGCACCTGTGTACAGACGCTTATGGAGGCCAGGGGTGTTGGATCCCCTGGGACTAGAATGATAGGTGACTTTTGAGCCACCCGATGTAAGTGATGTAAGTCTCTCTGCCAGAGCAGTACGAAGTGTTAACTACTAAGCTGCCTAAACAATGTCCTTTGATTACAGCCACACCTGCCTCTCCCTCCCACTCTCCCCAGAAACCCCAGCAATTCTCTTTGACCCTCCTTGACTTCTCTTCCTGCCTTAGTTTGTAAGAAGAGGAAAAGATTTCTGAGCCCACAGTGGCCAAAAATGAACTCAGAAGCAAACACATGATTAATCTGAGGAGATTGTACCAGTGTACATCTTTGTCAAACAGCACAGTTCACAGAAGTCTCTGTTTTAGTGTTTGCTGTTGTTTTGAGATGAGTCTTTCTATGTAGCTCTGGCTGACATGGATCTTGCTATGTGGACCAGCCTGGCTTCAAACTCACAGAGATCTACCTGCTTCTGCCTCCCTGTGCTGGGATCAAAGGGTTGTGCCACCACACCTGCCAGGCTCATTTCTAAACATAAAACACAAACTCTGCATTACACATGCTGTCATGGCATGCAACTCTGACAAACACTGCTCGAAGTACCTCACATTCAAGAACTTCATTATTTTTGCTGTACATGCATTTTTTTCTTACATAGAAACAATGGTTTAATTATGGAAAGCCAAGACTTTTTAATATTTTCCTACCATTATCCTTTAGCATGTAAGTATTAAAATTAATATATGGATGAATTGTATTATGTTGGAATGTTTGATTTCCAAAGTTGTTCTTTGAGATGCTGATTTGAGCTTTATTTAAAAAAAATCAAATTCCTGGGCATTGTGGTGTATGCTTTTGAGCCTAGCACTCGGGAGGCAGAGGCAGGCAGATCTCTGAGTTTGAGGCCAGCCTGGTCTGCAGAGCAAGGCCCAGGATAGCCAGGGCTACATAGAGAAACCATACTTCAAAAAAAAAAAAAACCCACAAAGCAAACAAAAAATCCAATTTGTTGGGAATAGAACAGAATTTTCAACCATTTCTGAAATGGTTATAAATATCCATCTGCCATTTTGTTTGTTGTCTTGTGCAAGTCTCAGCACAGGTGATTATAAAATTAGTATTGATCATCTCTAAAACATGCTAAAGTTATTCTGCCTCCTGAAGCACCAAATACTGTCAAGATTTAATTCTCTCTGTAAAAAGAAACAGGCTTAGCTGGGCAGTGGTGGTGCACACCTTTAATCCCAGCACTTGGGAGGGAGAGGCAGGCAGATTTCTGAGTTCGAGGCCAGCCTGGTCTACAGAGTGAGTTCCAGGACAGCTAGAGCTACACAGAGAAACCCTGTCTCGAAAAACCACCACAAAAAAAAAAAAAAAAAGAAAAAAAAAAAAGAAAAGAAATAGGCCTGCCCATCCAGTAGTAGACAAATTTGCTTTTTAAAAGATCTCTTTAGGACTTAATATCAGCAGATTTTTTATTTGCATGCCCTTTTTATATACTTAAGTGTCCAGTGTTGTGTAAAACTTCTCCAAGGAAAAGGGGTCTTAAATGGAAAAAGTTCAGTCATAAGAATGTGAGAGTGCATGTTGCTAACAGTGGCAACCTGATTCTCACAACTGTGGCCTTCCCAGGCCTGAGCAGGCTAAGCAGACCTTGAACGTTTGCCAAGACAGGTCTTATCAACCTGGACAGAGACATCTGCCCTGGCTGCTGTTGCAGGTTCCCATGTGAACCTAGCTGCTTTGGCTGCCAGCGCTAACCTTGCTTTACAACATACTCCAGCTGAAGTAGGGGATGGGTTTTGTGGTTTTCCCCTTTATAAATGCAGATCTGAACATTAAAATTAGAGCCTTGATCAGAACTTTGCCTTGGCTTCATTCTTCTCTCGCCCTCCCCCCACCTTTTTTTCCATTTCCAGCCCCCCTTTCAGGCAAACCCAGTTCTCCCATGGCTGCTGGACGGCTACACACAATTATTTCCTACTGTATACATCGTAAAGGGAAAAGAAGTGAACAAGTAAGTAAGACTATGAATCTTATTTTGCCTTGCCTCTTGAGGAACTCCAACTTCTGAGAAATTCTGTAGACGACCAAACTCAGTGCAGAATTTATTGTCCTGTATAGACAACCCAGCCACAGCAACTGTCCTCCCGTAGTCCAGGAAAGACCATCTTCTATACACCCCAGGCTTTCCCGGTGCTACTGCGGTAGAATAGATATATTGGTGTGTGTCTAGAGCACTTCTCTCTACTTCCCTGCTTCCTCTTTATGAAAATCTGAATGTGAATAGAACCAGGTATTGTGACTGCAAGAATAACCAGATGTTCTCTGACCACGGCATTCTGATCCCTCTGCTCAGAGCTTGTTCCTGGCATCATTCCATGATCACTTCTGTCTCTGTGAAAATATTCTTTGCCATATTCTTCATTTTTTGTGGTTTTTCAAATGTGCTGAACTCGGATGGCACATCAGAGTTAGTTGTGTAACGACTGTGGACAGAGAACCTCATCTTAAAAGGGAAAAAAAGAGTTCATTCTGGGGCCATTTTTAATAACCTTGGGGTGGGAAGACTGATTTGGGGCATCCTAAATTCCACGTTCCAACATGGAGTTTCACAGTTTCATAGAAGAAAGTTGAAAGTCAAGTCATATTTAAAATATAGTGTACATCAGACAGGCGGGTACAGCAAAGATGAGGAAGCTTTTCTATGGGGCCAAGATGCTATTTGATGACATTCTTAGCTTTCGGGTTGGGGGAAAATAGTAGTCTTCTAAACTAATAGATTCCAAAAGGTTTTCATTTGTTAGTCACAATATGTTAGTTCCAACAGAGATGGACAAAGAATGGCTATTCCCAATGGCTAGAGCTAGCTCAGGATATGATAACTAGCCTCTGGATCTGCAACATTCTAACCTCTCCACAGTACTGAAACCAGTTGATGATTCAGTTTTTGCAGACGCTGCTCTTTTTCCTGTCCACCCTCCTAAAGCTTGCCACAGTGTTCTGCATAGCGGGATTTGGAGGTTCCAGTTGATCAACAGTGCCTAGTGTCTGAGGAGAACTTGCTAGGAAGGAGACAATAAATGGCACTGGCAAAGTCTTTGGTGGATCTTAATACGATTACTACACACTTTACCACACTTTCCCTCCCACATCCTCTCCTTCTGTCTCTTTATATATCCTGACTTCTTAAAAATACAGTTCCAATGATTGCTGGAGCCCAGAAGATCAACTGGATCTTTACTCCTTCCCCCTCCACCCAAGACTCTATGTCTGACTTGTAGCCTTCAAAATATAGTTAGCTTATGTACAGAAGAGGGAACGACTACCAACGGGATCTGTTATCCAAGAGTCAGAGGCAGTGACTCATCCCAATCCTCGTGGTTACCTTATAAAATACAAATTGGGAGAAGACAAAAACCAAACCAAACCAAACCAACCAAACGAAACAAACAAACAAACAAACAAACAAAAAGCAAGCAAGCAAACAAAGAAAAAACTAACTCGATCTTCCATAGATCTGAGGAAATGCATGTAAGGCTAAGAAAAGGTTAAGAAAAGGGAAACTTCCTGGCCTCCGTTCCCAGCAGTGTTTCATTTCTTGCCTTGGTTTCTCCATAGATGCGGCAGATTTGCATCTGTGCAACAAACGTTTTTCGTGTTCTTTCTTGCTTTCTGTCAGGAACGTGTCTCTCTATGACCAGTCAGCGTTATCTACAAACTGCGCACCGCTGGTTCTCGGTGCCCAGCTGGTGCAGTTATTTAAACCGAGGGATTTGGGAGGCTGGATCAGGATTGGATACTCCTTAGCTCCGCCCCCTACCGCAAGGTTCCTTTGATTGGATGTGGCTGAGCGGGGCCGGCCTATGGGGAGGTGGCTCGCAGGTTCCCGGAAGTGGCGCCCTGGGTCGGTATGTACTTCTGCTTTCGAGGTGGGCTTCGGGTCTAGTCTTCCCGGACGCAATGAGCTCCTTCCAGGGACAGATGGCGGAGTATCCAACCATCTCCATTGACCGCTTCGACAGGGAGAACCTGAAAGCCCGTGCCTACTTCCTTTCGCACTGCCACAAGGGTGAGTGAACCCCTCTCGGTACCTATAGGGGCGCTAGGATCTGAAGAGGGGATGGCAGAGGTCGGTGCCTGGTGAGGGGAGAGCAGGCTGGAACTCCGCGAGGCACTGGGTAGCACTCCGAGTCCCAGTTGGTGCTTAACCTCTGGCTTGATTGAGCTCCAGATCTGTACCGCCTCTGTAACCCCAACTCCGGTTGCAGTCTGACTCTGGGCGCTGTGGTGAGGCAGACCTGTTAAAAGTGCTGGTTGCTTTCCCAGCGGAGAGTATCTGTTTGGTAAGGCTTAGCTCAAACTTCCCTAGTTCTCGTTTATCACGAGTAAGGAAAACACGTTTCAGAACTTCTCCTACATCCCGAGACATTAGGTAAGAGCGAAATGTCACTCTCACATAGACACACGTTTCAAAAGTTCTACATCTCAGAGACATTGTTTGTCTCTGTCTCTGTTCTGTCTCTCCTCTTCCCTCTCCCTCCCTCCGTCTTTCCCTCCTTTCCCCCCCTCACACACACAAATGTCTTTCTCACACTAAATTCTCACACATAGTGTGTGTGTGTGTGTGTGTGTGTATGCATTTATGTATACAACCAATCTATAAGCTTAGCCAAGTATCCCCCATTTTTCTTCTTTATTATTTACTTATTTTAAGTTGTGGGCAGAGTTTCACATGTCCTAGGTATAGTCAAATCAACCCACCTCCGTTAGACTAGCACTTGATCTTCCTGCCTCGCTCTCCTGACCCCCATGGGACTTAAATTGCTTTCATCAGCTCAGGGCCTAACCCTTTTTAGTGGTTTCTGTTCTCTACTGTGAAAAGTTCCTCATCTGCAGAAGAGCCGAAGACCCGTGGGAATCTGCTTGCTCATAATGGTGAGCCTCATGTAGTTTCTCTCAGTAGGAAGCTGACAAAGGCAGCCCAGTTGTTGTGGGCAAAGGAAGCCTCTTAAAAAACCAAATCAAATAAAACATGCTCACGATTTCTGATTCTTTTCCTTGTAGATCACATGAAAGGATTAAGGGCTCCTTCCTTGAAAAGAAGGCTAGAATGCAGGTAATTGGTTTTGCTATTTCTTTGTGTGTAAGTAGACATCTTAATTGAGAGATAACACCTAGGCAGAACAGTATGTACATCCTAACAGGTAGCCTATATAAACATTATGTAGCGTTCACACAGATAAGAAATCGACCACTACCGTGTCCCAGACTTCTGTCTAATCTTACCTGTTTTTTTTCTCCCAGAAGTTATTCCTATTTGGAGTTTTTGTCACAGTGAGCTAACTTTGGTTATTCTTGAATTTTAATATAAACAGATGGCTTGATATGGTGGTGTAATCCCAACACTGAGGAATCAAGAGGATTTGTGAGTTCAAGGCCAGCCTGAGAACTTGTCTTAAACAAACAAAAGTAAATAAATAAATAAGATCATGTATTAGATAGATTAAGACATCTTCTTAAAGATTTTTCAAAGGTTTATTTTTTTATTTTACATATATGCTTGTTTTACCTGTGTGTAACTGTGGTTACCAACATTTGTAGCTGTCCTGTGAGTAGGAATTGAACCTTGGTCATCTGGAAGAGCAGCCACCTTAACTACTTGAGCTATTTCTCCAGCTCCATCTAGTTCTTCACATGGTATTTATGTGATTCCATCTGTGTTGCTGGCTGCAGCAATGACTCATTTATCTTTATTTTTATAAGAAAATATGTTTATGTGTGTAAATGGTGGTTCTGCTAGCAGGAATCCTAGGCTGGAGAGGTGGCTCAGTGGTGAGCGCAGTGGACTGCTGCAGTGATGTGTGGGACCAGGCATGATGGAGTTGAGAATGTAGTAAGTAGCTCACTGTCGGACTGAGTTTTGAGTCGAGGGTCAGTCCAGAATGTGTAGGCTCTGATGCAGCAGGGGGGTGCAGCCTCGATGAACCGAACCTCCAACACCCTCACAGAAGCACATCTACTGATTAGACTGAAAGGCTTTTTTTTTTTAGGGTAAAACAAGTTCCTCAAACCAAAGCCCCTAATCTAATCTAAGTGTTTTGTGAAGGAAAGCATCACACCCCTGCAGCTTTGGTCCTTACTGTGTACTGTTTTTAATATTCAATAATGCAAGACATTCCAGGAGTGCCAATGACCAACGTGTGACCAAAGTCAAGCAAAGGGTGTAAACTCCCTTCAAAATAATAACTCCAGAGATAACAGAAAACAGTCACTGTCTTCTATAGTGATTTCTTCAAGGTCAAAGTACTTCTAGGAAACAAGTCTTCATTCTGATGCCTACCCTAGGTACAGGAGAAAGCAACTATTTCATTCTAACGTTTACCCAAGAAATAACGATTCTACTAGAACTGCACTACTGTCTGCTTGGAGCTGGTGTCCTCATTAGAACCTCTTGATAACCTTTTAAATAGGTGTTGTTATTACTTCTAACTTCCAGATGAGGAAACTAAGAAGCCAAATAGGTTACATTAGTTGCCCAGTGTCACAGAACCAGTGAGTGGCAAGACCAGGGTTTTAACTAGGTTTGGTCTGTCTAATTATACATAGCTGAGCCTCTATATCAGCTCTCCATTGCTGTGTGACACATTACCTTGTACCTGAGTATCTTAAAATGACACCAACCCTCTGATTTCTCTGGGTCAGGAATTATGACAGTGTACAGTAGGAATTTCTAGTTTCTGCCTGCTTAGAGTCTGAAGTTACCCAAACTGTACCATTATTATTATTATTATATTAGAATTTAATATGAAATTAATTTACCAGAGATATGAATCCAGGGGCTGGAGTTGTAGTTCAGTGGCTAGAGTGCCTGATCAGGCTATGCAAGGCTCTGGCTTTGCTCTTCAGCATACATAATAAGTAGATTTATGTGAAGCAAAAAGCAGCACCCCTTTCCTGTTCTCTAGAAGCAGATTAGCATTTGGTGGTACCTTTTTGGATGTACCTGAACATATACAAGCATTGTTCATTTTTACTTTCTTCTGGTGCTGCACTTCCAGCTCCCTGCGCACAGTCTGAGTGCTTACCAGCACGGTGTAAGACAAGTGGTGGTTGTCTCAGGAAGCAGAAGAACCCCACACCATCCCCTTCTCCTGTCCCATGGACAGGGTTGAAATCGTCAATGCTATTATACTGGTACTGTGGTAGCCAGCTCGCTGTTACTGTGGCAAAGCATGTGAGAAAAACAACCTAAATGGGCAAGATTTACTTTGCCTCCTGCTTTCAGTCAGTGGTTGGCTGGTTCCATGGCTCTTAGGCTCCTGGTGAGGAGAGAACATAGCAATGGAAAAGCAGAGGAAAGCTGCTCACCTGTAGACATGAGGCTGAAAGCTAGACACAGGAGGGACCGGAGGCAGTGGAGTTCTTCCACCTCTAGGAATGCTGGTTCATGGCCACATCACAGGATTGAAGTATAGATTCTGTCAGAGGCCTCATGTACCTCCAAAGCCCCACCCCTCTCTGAACATTAGCACTGGAGACCCAAGCCTTAGCAATCGGGTACTGGAGGGGATTTTATTTCCAAATCATGGCAGGTATGTTGGGAGCCACTGTCACACTTTCCTTGTCATCTGATTGTGATTTCCTAGAGAAAAATGACACTCTGCACAGTGTGTTGCAGACTCAGCAGAGTGGCTTGTTTGGAATTGTGCTGAGCCAGCTTTTCCCCCTGTTTCTGTGTTTTGCTTTCAGCTTGAAGGTCTTCCTGTACTGTTCTCCAGTCACTAAGGAGCTGTTGTTAACTAGCCCGAGGTACAGATTTTGGGAAAACCGAATTGTAAGTCAACTGTAATTCAGAAAGTTGTCATTTTTGAATAACACCTCTTTGTTGTGTACATGGGGAGGACTTTTAGAAGCATCTTTAAAAAAAAAAACCGTTGGGATTATTCAAACCCCCATTCTTCATGCCTGTGAGTTCATCATGAAGCAGAATCGTGACTGAGGTGTGACTCGGCAGGTTTTTGCTTCTTGTTCCTCAAGAGTGTGATTAAGTTCTTAGGCCTAATGTACTCTGGGGGCTGCCTAGCACAGATGTGTTAAAGTGCAAACACAATGCGCTTTCTTGTATTTTTTAAATCCCAGGCTAACTCAGGAAGAAGGAACATATTTTAAAGGTTATAATAAAAAGTCTGGGGGCTGAGCGATGGCTCAGTGGTCATGAGCACTTGATGCCCTTCCAGAGGACCTGAGCTTGGGTCCCAGCACCCACATTGGGCAGCTCACAACCGCCTGTAACTCCAGCTTTAGAGGATCTGACTTTCTCCTCAGTCCTCGACAGGCTCCCTACATACAGTTGGCATTCTAACACGCATGTGCATACACACACAAACATGCACACACAAATACAATTAAATCTTAAAATATTAAAAAATAGAATGGAGCCAAACATGGTACTACAGACCTGCGATCCCAGCATTTGGAAGTCTGAGGCAAGATCACAAGTTTCTTTTCCTGTGGTTCTGTGGAGTGAACCTAAGGCCTTGTGTGTGGCAGGCAAGTCCTCTACCACTGACCTGTATCCCAGCCCCAAGAACAAAAGTTTCATGTCATCTTGACCTACATAGCAAGAAAGAATGAGATATAGAACGGATAACTTAGAGGGTATGCGTGTGTGTTTGTGTGAGAGAAAGTGTGTGTATGTGTGAGTGTGTGTGTGTGTGTGTGTGTGTGAGAGAGAGAGAGAGAGAGACAGAGACAGAGAGACAGAGACAGAGACTGAGACTTAAATGTAGCCTTGGCTGGCCTCAAACTCAGAGATCCACCTGGCTCTGCCTCCCCAGTGCTGGGATTAAATGTGTGTGCCACCATGCCTGGTCTAACATCAATAACTTTCTATTTGTGGAAAAATGAAATAGATCTTTCCTCCAGAAAGTAGTCAGAAGAAAATTACTATAACATATAAAATGCAAACATGGCAGAAAAAGTCCTATTTTGATCTTTATTACTTTAGGTAGGAACAGACTTCTCAGTTGAGGCTAAAAAACCTTAAGAACACCCAAGGAAGACCAATACTATAGAAAAAAGCAAAAGGATTGATTTTTAAAAAGAAAAAGGAAAAGTAAAAGAAAGGAAAGGAAGAACATTTACCAAACAGAAGTCCAAAGTGCCAAAGTAGCTGTCTTCCCATCATATAAAATAGAACCTAAGGCCACAACAAACAAACAAAATATAACAGCCAAACAAAGAACAGAGCTCCGTAAGGTCCGAGGAAGACATATCTGCTGTTACAAGATGCCGCAGATCAAGAGGGTATGAACATAGGTGCCCTCAACAAAATACCTCTGACTCATTACATGCTGACTGCTGCTATCTGTCTGGCCTGCTGCTCTACCTGAGAAGGATGGAGAGTAGGATTAGAGTTAGGACTTACTACATGTCTGCATGAAGGGTAGCATCTTACTGATGTCTGACAGATGACAGCTTAAGTCCCTCCTCTTCCATCCCCTCTGCCCCACATCTGGCCAGCCTCTGCAAAAAAAAAAAAAAAAAAAGGGCAAGATCAAAGCAGCCCACCCCTTTACCACAGAGGCCAGGTGTGTAGCTCAGAGGTGGTGCACATGAGCCTTTGGTGTCTGATCCCCAGTGCTACCAAAACAACAGAACACTAAACCAGGAGCCTGTGCTTTGGCTCAGTGGGTAAAAGCACTTGCCAGCACGCCTGACAACCTGAGTTAGATCCCCAGGATCCATATAGTAAGAGGAGAGAACTGAGTCCACAGGTTAGCTTTTCATCTCTACATGCTCACGGCCCCTCCACTGCACAGTAACTGATTAAATAGGAACAGCCTTTTAAAAGGAAAAGACAAAACAGCTTTCTGTAGGCCGAATCTTCAACAGTCTGTTGTAATAGCGTCCAAAGGATGACTAGTTAAGGAGGTCAAATTCTGATAACTGGATTTGATAACGGCACACAAGCCAGGTTGTTCTGTATCCAAGAAGTGTATGTGAACATTATGTTTCAACAAAAACAGCTGCCAACACTGTCTCTGAAGCCACACCAGCCCCCCTCTTTCTGCTTGGGCGCTGCACCCAGAAAATCCTGTGCCGGGAGGAACCTCTCATCATGCCTCCTGAGTGATGCCCATGTCCTCCACACATCCGGCACAGCAGCTTGGCTGCTCTTCCTTTGCCTCTGGGACTGGGCCTGCAGTTGCCGTAAGTTAATCTGTCTGGGACAGTCAAGGAGTGAGGAAGACCAGACACAAGCTAGAATTCAGACATCTAGAGTCTGGGAGAGCAGCCAACACATGTCAGCATCTCCTTCCAGCCTTGATGCTGATGGCCTGCTTTGACCCTGCATGTGAATTATACTTACATTGGCCCCTGACTGAGGAAGTGCATAAATGCCTGTAATCCCAGCACTTGGGGAACTGGAGACAGGAGGATCCCTGGTGCTCACTGGCCAGCTCCACATTCAGTGAGAGAGGCTGTCTCAGAGAAGAAGAGATCATCGAGGAAGACACCTACGTCAAATTCTGGCTTCCATATGCGCAGGCCCACACACCGGAACATGTACACACCCAGGAGTTCTAGCTAGTGCTGGTGCTTTAGCTCAGGTGGCAGAGTGTTTAACAGACCCATGCATGTCACCACACACATAGACATGCAAATAGAAAAAGTAGAGAAAATTGAAGTTATCAAAAATCTCTTCAAAAACAGTCTCAAGTTCATGGTACATTATGAACAAGGTGCTTTTCATCTGTAAATGGGATACGTTACTAGTGAGTGTGTGTGTGCATACTGAGTATGTGTATGCATGCACATCGCTGGATGTGCATGCTGAGTGTGTGTGTACCGAGTATGTGTGTGCTAAGTGGGAATGAGTACTGAGTACATGTGCGCTCCTTGTGTGTGTGCTGAACCTGGAACCTAAGGCCTTGTGCATGCTAAGTGCTCCAACACTGAGCTGCAGCCCCATCGCAACAGCACTGGTTTTGTCTTGTTACGGCATTTTTAACTGTTAATTATACTGAGATCAGAAATGGTTACATGAAATCAGAATGTATACATGAAATCAGAATGTATACACGAAATCAGAATGTACACATGAAATGAGAATATATACTACACATGAAATGAGAATATATACATGAAATGAGAATATATACATGAAATCAGAAGTGTGTCTCCACTTACTCTCTTTTCAGATAGCAATTGAAATTGAAACTCCTACCCAGATATCTTTAGTTGATGAGGCATCGGGTGAGGTAACTATATAATAAATATTTTGTATTTTCTTTTGCTAAAATGATTAACTTTCTCTTTAACTTAGAATGCTCGTTTATTCATAAGCAATGATTTATGAGTGAAGTATATTTTAGAAAAATAACTACAACATTTGTAGATGTTTTGATCCCTATGTACTGGGTTCTTTGACAGTGGCCTGGGG